TGTATGTATCTTATAACATCATGTTGTATACCTCATATACACAATAAAATTTATTTCAAAGCAAAAACAAAAAGTACACAAAGGGGTTTCTGATAGTCACAAATCGAAAGCATCTCCATCACAGGAGTCATTTTGGATGATGTTCTGAGAACCAGACAATGCTAATATTAAACCATCTAACGCGGTTGAACAAAAGAGTTGTTTTTGTGCAAACACAGGCATCTAGATCAAAGGAACTGAATGGAAAGCCCCAAAACAGTGTGTTATTATTTTAATGAACTTATTTGATAAAGGAGATATCAAATATCAATTCTTTCCCTCACGGACCTGACAAACGGTGTTGGAAGAGTAGTAGTGGACTAGCAATTTTAGGGCTGGTATGAGATAGGAATTAACTTCAGCTGGGTTGAATTCAGGGCTTTTGTTTATTTCTATGGTTTGATTTTTTTAAAAACTAATAGATGTTAAAAACTACTTGCAATGCCTTCCTGACGTCCCAAAGGTAAAGTCACTACCAGCCTACTGAAGCCAGTAGGAGCTCAGAGAAGCACAAGCATCAATGTGCACTGCTCACAGGTCACAGTGGTCCCATTGGTCAGTGAGACCCGTCCTCCTCTGTGAGGCCTGCACCCCTCTCTGGTGTGTGTGGCATGCTAGCTCCCGCTGGAAAAAGCAGTGTCTCCTCCGGTAAACTCTAATCAGCAGCCCCACGGCCTCATCCTTTTCCATCCCCTGGACTGCGATCGCCTACTACAGCCCAAGCTCAGTTCCCGCCAACACCCAGGGAGGAGCAGGGTTGAATAATTGTAAGATTTCTGACTGGTGATCACTTGCCCACCATAGAAGTGATTTCTTAAAAATCACATAAACAGATTATCTTCCAAAGAGTACTGTACAAAAAGGGAGGAGGGGTAAAAGGGTAACTTTACAGTGGAAAAACCTGACAAACACTACCCGTGCCATGTGACCAAGTTCAACATCGGTAGTGCAAAGTCACATTGATATCATGGACCTTTGCTATGATGTGACAAGAATAGCCCTTTCCATCTGGGGTCTTCCTCCCAAAAACACATGACCACAGTCAAATCACGAGGGGAAAAAAACAGACCAATCTCAATTGAGGGACGTTCTACAAAATAACTGACAGTACTCCTCAAAACTGTCAAGGTCACCAAAAACAATGAGAGTTTGAGAGACTGTCAGAGCCAAGAGGAGCCTAAGGGGACATGACGACTAAATGTAAAGTGGTATCATGGGTGGAATCCTGAGACAGAAAAAGGACACTAGGTAAAAACTGTATCTGGATAACGTATGAACTTTAGTTAACAATAATATATCCATATTGATCATTAATTGTGACAAATGTACCACGCTAACTTAAGAAATTAATAATAGAGAAAACCAGGGCTGGTTATACAGGAACACTCTGTACTACCTCCTCAATAATACTGTAAATCTGAAACTGCTCCTAATTAATAGGTTAATTCCAATCACAATTAAGTTTAAAAAACAAAACAAAACAAAAGTATAAGCCAGGCGTTGGTGGCTCACGCCTGTAATCCCAACACTTAAGTGAGTCCAAGGCAGGCGGATCACGAGGTCAGGAGATCAAGACCATCCTGGCTGACACAGTGAAACCCAGTCTCTACTAAAAATACAAAAAAATTAGCCGGGTGTGGTGGTGGCCGCCTGTAGTCCCACCTACTCGGGAGACTGACGCAGGAGAATGGCATGAACCCGAGAGACAGAGCTTGCAGTGAGCCGAGATAGCGCCACGGCACTCCAGCCTGGGTGACAGAGCAAGACTCGTCTCAAAAAAACAAACAAACAAACAAACAAAAAAATACAAACATTAAACTTTTGGACAAAATAAAAATGTGTCATTCTAAAATAAAGAAAAATTGCAATCTGGAGCAAATATCTATAGCAAATATGACAAAAGATTAGGGTATATATAATTTAAAGTCCATAAGTATGTTAAGAGAAACATTCTGAAAAAAGCTGAGACAAAAGAAAACTAGAAGTCATACAAAAGACGCAATGTATTTTTTAAATAATTTTTAAAAATACTAAAGTAGGTATCATTTAAGTTGCAAAACTGTTTTTCAAATAATACCCAGTGATGATAATGTGACAATTTAAACCACTTTACTTATATAGTATTGGTAGCCAACTAAATTGATAACACTCTTGTGGAAGTACCGTAAAACAAACTATGCCCCTCTACCCCCACCTGAACATGTGCATGTTAAAGCCCAAACCCTCAACATGATGGAATTTCAATATGGGGCCTTTGGGAGACAATCAGATTTAAATGAGGTCAGGAGAGTGTGGTCCTCAGGATAGGATTAACACCCTTATAAGAAAGGACATCAGAGAGCTTTTGCTGTCACTCTCTTGGCCATGTAAGAACACAACAAGAAGGAGGCAGTCTGCAAGCCAAGAGGAGAGCCCCCACCAGAACCCCAACCATGCTAGCACCCTTAACTCAGACCTCTAGCCTCCAAAATTGTGAGAAAATAAATTATTGTTGGTTAAGTCACCCAGGCTATTGTGTTTTGTTATAGCAGCTGAAGTTAATTAATACAGAAAGGCAATTAGAGATACACAAAGAACACTGAACATATTCATCCCTTTTAATTCAGTAATTCTACATTTGTAATGTTAACCTTTAGAAGCAATTCAAAATATGACAAAGCTATACACATGTAAAACTTAGTTTTACATTTTTAAGCCAGTGATAACCTAAATGTCTAACAATGGAGAAGCAGTTAAGTAAGTTGTAATATTCCACTTGATCTAATATGATTTAGTCATTTAGAATTATTACAAAAACTATATAGGCTTACAGTGAATGCTTTTAATAAAATTAAGTGCAAACCAAACACAAAAATCTACAAAATGAGACTAATGATATAAATAAATATGAACAACTATTAAAAGAGTTAGTTATAAACAAATAATTTGTTGAGAAATATTTTATTTTGTTACACAAAATAATACTCGGAAATGTATCTGAGAGTATTATTAGATAGGTCCTTTCTTAAATATAATCACAACTTCTTTAATTATAGAAAAGTGACTTTTTTCTGAAAACAGCCACTGCAGTACTCTCCAAAAAATGAGAATGAAACATTTACTTTTTATGTAAGACAACCATCAATTTTTCTTGACTACATACTTTTTATTATGTTATTACTTACATTGAGATGGTTTCCAAGGCATCTTCAAAAATGTCCTGGGGGAAATAAAAAATACAATGAGTTTCTCAAGAATTCTAAATTAGTTTCTCAAGAATTCTAAAAGAGAAAATGAATACATGCATTGGGGAGAGTGGTCCTGGCAGGAAGATATAGCAGGTAGTAAAATCAATCAACTTAACACTCACAGAACTCTGTTCACAGAAATCAAGCACATGAATTTCAGTGAGATTTTTTTTTTTTTAATAAGGCTGTTAAAATACTCAGCAAGTGATCAAACTGGTCTAATTTAAAGAGACTATGACATCTTTTAGGAAGTTGCCTTTCACTCCTAAATCTCAATCATCCCAATTGTAGAGTAAAATAAATAACAGGACTTGCTCCACGTAGTCTTTTCTTTCTCCGTGGCTAGTTAAGTGAGCATCCTCTGGGCCTTCATTTCACATCTCATTGCACCACCCTCTCAGCTCGTCTCCCTGCCACCAGCCTTTCCCCCAGTTTACTCTGTGCCACACAGGATAGCCCTTTGCTTCATGCCACTGGCCTGATCACAGTGCAACAGGATGAGAAACGCACACACTCATATGCACTCAGAAGTCCACACACGCACTCCGCACTCAGACACAGTGACTCACACACAATCTCACAGTCACATACACAAACACACATGCCCTCACTCAAAAACTCACACATACACAACAGCTCCCTCACAGCTGCAAAAACCAAACCTAAGCTCCTCATCCAGGTATCTGGGGTCCACCACAACCCAGCCTAATCTTTCAAGATCCTTCTCTGACATCCCCACCACTCTCAGCATAGCTCAAGCCATGAGACCTCCAGAAGGGCCGCCTTACTGGTCTCCTCGCTCCTGTGCTTGACACCCTCCATTCAATTCTTCACATGACAACCATATCATTCTTTTACTTCATGTTTTTGAATAAGCATACACCATTCCAGTTTTCTAGACCTCTTCGAGAGCTTTCCATTGCACTTAGAAAAATCCCAAACTCATTCTCCCTATCTACAGAGCACTAAAACAGCCCCACCAGCCTCTGACCACATCCCCTTACTCACTCGACTCTAGCCACAGGTCTTTCTTTAAGTTCTTTGGACAAGCCAAACATCCCACAGCTCTCTGCACTGTCCCCTTTTTTATAATGTCCTTTGCTCAATTATTCCCATGGCTGACTCATTCTCATCCTTTGATTTTCAGCTTAGAAAGCCACCTCCTCAAGAAGAACATCTCTGATCACCCTAACTAAAATTACTAGGAATAGCAGCTTACTTACAGTTCCTCTTCATTTCATTTGTTCCATTCATAGCACTTATCATAATCTCTACTGATCTTCCTTGTTGACTTGATTACCCTCTGTCTCCATCAAAGCAGGCTCTTACATACACAGAAAAAACACCAGGGCTTTGCACCAGGGTTTGCTCAATAAATACTTGTTGCCTAATGAATGAATGAATGAATGACTGGAACCTGGACTGCCAAGGGACTTACCATATCACACCTCATTTAGAGTTACGCACAGAAATGAGGAAAAGGAGCTAGGGATCTTTTCCCTTGTGTGGCCATTAATACTGAACAAGGTTTAGACCATACTGGATTCTGCAGTGAGGCAGAAAAAACAGAAGTATCGATACTAAAAAGAAGAACCGACTGGGCCTGGTGGCTCACGCCTGTAATCCCAACATTTTGGGAGGCCAAGGCCAGTGGATCTCCTGAGGTCAGGAGTTTGAGACCAGCCTGGCCAACATGGTGAAACCCCATTCCTATTAAAAATACAAAAATTAGCCAGGCGTGGTGGTGCATGCCTGTAATCCCAGCTACTCGGGAGGCTGAGGCACAAGAATCACTTGAACTCAGGAGGCAGAGGTTGCAGTGAGTCAAGACTGCGCCACTGCACTCCAGCCTGGGCAACAGAGTGAGACTCCGTCTCAAGGGGAAAAAAAAAGTTGTAAACAGTGGCAGAAATGAGTTTGAATTTGGGACCTGGCCTATTAATCTACATTAATATCATACTCCATAAAGGAGGTAAAATCAAGGGCCAGCACACAGGTTATCATGTGAGCAGTTACAAAGAAGGGAGGAAAACGTATTCTCCAGGAACCCAGATCTCACTATGATAAGCCCAGCTCACAGTCCCTCTGGCAGCTCTGGTGACTCCCTCTGCACTTACCTTTAACAATGATAGGGTACATGGACAGCCCACTCCTGGAGGGCTTCTGTGCCTTCTCCTCCTGCTCACAAACCTCAACATGGACACTAAAATACTCACTGAGTGAGCGTCACAAAGGAACTTGGGAAGCCAATCCTCCGTGTAAAGAAGACAAGACTAATATTTTCATCTAAACAAGAAGTATTCCCACCCCTCCATAAAAAAAAAAGAAAGAAAGAAAGAATATCAAGCCAGGTGGTGCACACTTGTCGTCCCAGCTACTCGGGAGGCTAAGGTAAAAGAATGGCTTGAGTTCAGCCTGGACAATATAGCAAGACCCTGTATCTAATAACTTATTTTAAAAAAAATTTTTTTTAAGAATATCAAAACTCTCCATTTTGTTGAAACAGTAATCACATGCAGAGCGTTCTCTAAATAAAGCATATATGGTCTATAAAGGCCAGACAAAAGGTGGAAGTGTCTTAATTTTAAAAAGAGGAAAGGTGAAGAGAAGAACTAAGATTTACTGAGTACCTACCATGTGCTAGGCACCTTACAATCTTACAAAAGCTATCTCATGTGTTCCTCCCAACATACAGCAAGTTAATCCAGTTGTAGTTTAATTACTTGCCCAACATTACACAGCTGGTAAGTGAAGAAACTGGGGTTCAATCTCAGGTTTAACTCCAAAGCATTTTATTAATATTAATACAAACTATCTAAAACTTGGAAATTAGATAGTTGGGCAGGATGGGGAGGGGGTGGGAGATGAAGGGGTGCCATATCCTCTCAATGTAATATGATAGTATTGCTTTACAAGCCTCCCAAGGATTATTTAACTCTCTAGAAGAGTGTACTTGTGTTTAATTTTTCCATCTGCTGTCTGATTGGAGTCCGCACACTGTGAAGTTACATGTTAACTTACAGGTTTTTTAGGGGTGAAAAACATTACCTCAAAGATTATGTATGACTTTGCTGCTCTGTGAGACAGCAGTTCCCAACCTTTTTGGCACCAGGGACTGGTTTCGTGGCAGACAATTTTTCCACAGATGGTGGGGGACAGTGAGGAGATGGTTTCAGGATGAAACTGTTCCACCTCAGATCATCAGACATTAGATTCTCATAAGGAGTGTGCGACCTAGATTCCTCGCATGCACATTTCACAATAGGGTTCACACTCCTGAGAATCTCACGCCACCGCTGATCTGACAGCGGGTGGAGCTCAGGTGGTCATGCTCGCCCGCCCACCACTCACCTCCTGCTGTGCAGCCTGGTTCCTAACAGGCCACTGACCAGTACCAGTCCATGGCCCAGGCACTGGGGACCCCTGCTTTAAGGTATTACCCAGTTTTATGTATAACCTAGCAATCTTAATCTAACATTCTTCCTTAAGCCTATAAATACTAGTTCCTCAAATACTGTTTGGATCAATTCACTATTTCACTGGTTTCCTAACTGGTGGATTAAATAAAATTTTGACATGTTCATTTTATATCTTTATGAGAATCTTATTTCCAATTCTGGAAAATTATACTTGGACACGGAGATCGCCAACCACTCTCTCCCTGGGCACCTGCAAATACAGTTTCCTGCATCCTTGGGAAACGGATGTGGGGTCCACGTGGAAGATGAAACACTAAAAGGCAGAGACTGCTCATGCCTCCGTTCCATATCCCTATGGACCAGTGCTTCCTTTTTCTCCTGTCTCTCTAGGTTCCCATGCGTAGCTCAAATTCTATCCCTTTTCTGCTGCTGCCTAAGGAAGCTGCTTTTCCTTGTGTGAGATTCCCATAAGGGCCCTTAGGTTTGGCACTGACTGCTATTCCACAGTCTCCCACCTGGCCCTCGGTAGACATGCATGTGTTCTTCATGTAGCAGAACTAGATGTTTCCACCAAAGTCTCTTTGCTTTTCCATACTCACCATCAATTTCCTAGTGCTCTTCCAGTGTTGGTTTCCCTTAGCTCCCCAGTACTGGTAGGCTCACCGTGTGCCCTCCAGTTACAACACGCACAGAGAAGCATCCAGACTCCTTCCAATGTAAGTAAAGTAAGACAGGAGAGCTCACACTGCCGACAAATACCATGTGTTCACAGGAAAGCCTCGGTGTTTAGTTCCATCTTTAAAGGCAGCTGCATTTGCCTGCCCCACTCCCATGCCAGGGCCAACCTTGAAGTGCTACTACTGTAGGGCCTGGTGTAACAGATCCTTTCATTGAACCACGCCTGGCTCCTAATCATACACCACCTCCAAACAGTATCTAACTTTTTGAAGAGCCTATCTTGACTCTCTAGTTGGAGTCAAGGGCCATTCTACTCTTTGTGAATCTACTTTCTAGCCCAGCACAGTCCTCTGTACTTCATAGACTCTTAGCAAATCATGGTTCACTAACTGGCTGGCTGAGGACCCATGTCTTGAGGTGGAAGGTCCTCATCTTGAGCTGTCTCACTTTGCACATTAAAAAACGGGCTCACCTGTGAGTTGAAGGATTCCCTAGGTAAGCTGACAGATGTAAAGCCAGCGCCCAGGGTCTGCTCCCTCCTGGGAGATCAGCCTGAAACCTACCTCTGCCTCCAGATCATAGAAACTGCCATCCTGATCATAGAACTGACACAGAGTGAGGAAAGCTGATGGGTGCTGCATCACCTACTGAGGCTTTTCCAAACAATTTCCATCTTAATTTGCTAACTTTGTCATATTCTGAGTAGTAAAAATGTAAGCAAGTACATATGAGTGAAAGGGCAGGTTCTTAATGTTCATTTAAGAATCCTAATGAAGATATTAATGACAAAAGTGTTTACATTATTTTTATCTCTACAGACAAAGAGTAAAGATGACAAATATGCTATTAACAGTAGTAATTTCAATACTCTGCAT